TGAATTTTAATGGCATCCCAGTATTAGTCTGTAGGGTTCAATATTGAGTTGGCCCCGCCCTTTGCAGCTATAACAGCCTCAACTCTTCTGGGAAGGCTGTCCATAAAGATTAGGAGGGTGTCTATGATAATGTTTGACCATTCTTCTTGAAGCGCATTTGTGAGGTCAGACACTGATGTTGGACGAGAAGGCCTGGCTTACTGGCTCTGCGCTAATTTATCCCAAAGGTATTCTATCGGGTTGAGGTCAGGACTCTGTGCAGGCTAGTCCAGTTCCTTCACCCCAAACTCACTCATCCATGTCTTTATAAACCTTGCTTTGTGTACTGGTGAGCAGTCATGTTGAAACAGGAAGGAGCCATCCCCAAACTGTTTCCACAAAGTTGGGAGCATGAAATTGTCCAAAATGTCTTGGTATGCTGACACCTTAAGAGTTCCTTTCACTAGAACTAAGGGGCCAAGCCCAACCCCTGAAAAACAACCCCACACCATAATCCCCCCCTCCACCAAACTTTATCTTTGGCACAATGCAGTCAGGCAAGTACCGCTCTCCTGGCAATCGCCAAACACAGACACATCCATCAGATTGCCAGACAGAGAAGTGTGATTGGTCACTCCAGAGCACACGTCTGCACTGCTCTAGAGTCCAGTGGCGGCGCGCTTTACACCACTGCATCCAATGCTTTTCATTGCACTTGGTGATGTAAGGCTTGGATGCAGCTGCTCGGCCATGGAAACCCATTCCATGAAGCTCTCTATGCACTGTTGTTGTGCTAATCTGAAGGCCACATGAAGTTTGGAGGTCTTTAGCTATTGACTCTGCAGACAGTTGGCGACTTCTGCACACTGTTCGCTGCAGCATGCGCTGACCTCACTGTCATTTTACATGGCCTACCACTTTGTGACTGAGTTGCTGTTGTTCCCAGTTGCTTCCACTTTGTTATAATACCACTAACAGCTGACTAGGGAATATTTAGTAACAAGGAAATTTCACAGATGAACTTATTGCACTGGTGGCAATCTATCACAGTACCACGCTTGAATTCACTGAGCTCCTGAGGGCCATGGAGGTGATTGGAACACCTGACTCCTATGATTTGAAGGGGTGGCCCAATACTTTTGGCAGTATAGTGTATATAGTTCTGCAATAGCACTGGTTTCTAATTTACTTTATAAATTAAATTATAAAGTGCTGGTAATTTCCACATCACTGTACAGAGAGCATGGGCTGGATCTATTCTGTGCTTTTTCAGCATTTTAGACTCCACTGCAATGCTATTGACAAATGCTGAACGTGGACAATTCTGTGTAACCTCTTCAAGGTAAATGTAGGGCGGATGTTGGTTCCAGCAAGGCAGTAAACGAACATCTGAGCGTCTTTGTACAATTATATTCTTCTCTCCAGTATAGATAATTCACCTCCTATGTAAATCTGTTACAGCAGACAACGTTGTAGTGCAGCTTAGAAAATGAAAGCCTACCCCTGATTAGTTGCAGCTGGTGATGTCTCTGCTTTTTGTTTGTAGATTCACTAAACTCCAGACAGATATAAATGACACAATGAATACAGCTATAAAGCTGTTAATACAAACATTAAATATACTGTATGTTATAGTATGTGTGACTAGTGTACGTACCTGAACGTTTTTTTCAGCCTTAGGCAATCCCTTATAGCAGAGCACTTGAGAACGAGGGAAAGCTTCATGTAGAAGGGTTGACAAGGAATGGTGAGCAGAGGAATAACCCCATCCTTCTGTTGCTCTTTCACTGTCCATTCAGCAGTCTAGGAATGAAGACAGGACATCACTTTATTCCTCATTTGTAATTGGTGACATCCACCTTACTATGCTGCATAAGAGAACTGGATGGGCAAAAATAAATCGCGCTCTCAGATATGTGTTAGCTCTCTATTTTGATTTTCGCCTGGAGTTCAGCTTTAAAAACCAAATAAGGATCAGAGTAAGTGCCAGGCAGTTAGCAGTATATCTCATAGCACTACATTTTCTAAATGACTAGGCAGCAAGTGAAGGGACATTTCCCTACTAGGTACAATCAAAGCAATAAAACCTGATATGGACTCTAATGCTACCTGCTTTATTGAGAAACATTTTTGCTGTAGTTGGGCTGTAATTTTGTTCCTCCATATTTTTGTGTTTGAATATAAAGATATGTAGATTAGCCACCAGTGGGAGCTCTGTATTTGAGTTAGGCTCATTCAAGATCACCTAAATGGATTGTAAATGGAATTTCTTTTAAAATAACAAACGTGATACTTACCTGCTCTTTTCAATGACTTTGCACAGCCCCGATCCTTCTCTTCTTGAGTTCCCCACCGGCGCTCCTGGATCCCTTGAGTCCCCCCCCAGTTGAGTGCCCCCATAGCAAAACCACTTGCTATGGTGGCACTTATGCGGGCTCAATCCCAAGCAGGGCTGTGTGTGTCCATTGACACACATAATGCAATTTGGCCCCACCCTCTGCTCTCTCCTCACAGGCTATGATTAGCAGCAGCAGGAGATAATGGCTCCTGCTGCTGCCTCCATGGCCAGTGAAAGAGGAGAAGGCTTTTTACTTTAATGCAGAAAATGCATTAAGGTAAAAACAAATCACCTGCCTTTAGAACCACTTTAAAGCCACCCTTCATCCCCCCCCCCCATTTATTCCTAAATGGTGCATTCTGGTGATTTTTACTATTTTGCTCCTTCGCATCATTTGGCCTATTGTTCAGCTGACCAGCACACCCCTGGCCCATGTGTGCCACAGTTTAATTGAAGTGAAATGTCCATCTACAAATGTTGATGGTTACACTTGCCGCTTCCTTCTTCATTTGAACATTAGTTGTCTTTTAATCCTTGGCATTTTCCCTGCCAGACCTGTGTAAAACTCTTAGTATCTGCATTCTTTGCATTCTTGAAATGTATTCAGCTGAAAGTATTAGAATTTTTGAGCCAACTCATCTTGATGATGTGAATTCTCCCCAACCACAATATATTATATTACTTCAAACCACCTAATGATTTACTTGTTCAATAAATATGAAGGGTTTACTGACCCCACGGGTGCCTGACAGTTTTTCAGGGACGTTGACGTCAGAGGTACAATCTCCAGATGCCAACACTCACCATCTTTGTCCAAAAAAACAATATCTTCATTGCATCTCCAGAAATATATGTTCAGACTGAATGGGAAAAAAAACCCAGATTGCTTAATCCACAATATACAGCATGGGTGGAGGAATCTCCTGCGGTTGCTATTATATTTTGACAGCTGTCTTCGCCAGCTGTCAAAATACTTGAACATCTACTGCATGTGATTGGATGCAGGTGCTGTTCGGATGACCGTTTTCTGCCCAGTTCCTCGGTTTTTGAAATGAGGAATGTTGGGTGGGTGGTTGCAAACAGGGACAGCCGTTCTATTTATATGTGCATACCCTATGCGCTTCTGGTGAGTGCGCATTCCTACCGTTACATCCAGGCACAAGCATTTGAATTCTGCTTTTATTCTGATTATCCACCATCCATTATTTATGAACTTCTATGAAATGATACTGCTGTTTTTTACTGTCTATTTATTGTCATTTTTACCAGTGCTGCACTCTATTTATACAAAACAGGGACAGCCACTGAGCGAATTTCAGCCGGTTTATCACGATCTGGCCCAAATTTGCTCTGGGTATGGCTAGCTTTAGTCATAAAAGGCTGGATGTGGTCTAAATGTGTCAACCAAGTTTTTATTGTTTTCTAGTATATGCTTCTTGAGATTTAAAATGTCACTAAACCCAGGACCCTGCATTTACAATATCTTCCATAGTACACAGAACATGGAAATGCAATTATTTTAGTAAATATAAACTGCTAAATACCTGCTGATTGGCCTTGTGCTGATCCCATGCACCCTCCCAAAGAAACTAAAACTCTCTAGCAATACACACTAAACTGAGCATGTGCAGAGTGACTCCTAGAGCTCTGTACTATCAGCAGATAGATTGAGCACCGTAGAAGAAGGGGAGGATTGCAGAAGACAGGATCAAACAGCCTTTTTATACAATGCGGAGGATTAACCCCTTAGGTTCCATAGTGAGTATAATAAGCATGCTTTACTGCATACACAGACTGATTTTACTGATGTGGGCTTAGTAACACTTTAAGGCTTTATGAATATCAATACCTAGTTACAATGAGAACATTTTTTCTAACACTAAATACATTTATAATACCCTTCTGATGTTATCCAGTGCCAGCAGTAATTTTTCCACTGCAGAGGCCCAGAACTGTTCTACTACTCCCTATTAGGTTTTCTGTTTTAAATATAAAATGGTAGTGCTTGTTCTGTAAATTTGCATTCACATGCATTTTGTTTTATATCTATGGACACGAAAAACACACTGCGTTCAGGATTAGTATATGTACACAGATCTTTGGTCCTCCCTGAGTGCCAGCTTATGCAAACCTGAACAGCACCACAAGCATGCCAACACTAACACAAACCTTGCTCACCATGGCACAGTTGACTTGTCATTATTCATTGATGCTTAGCAAGGCGTATTCTACATGACCAGTGGCACTTATACGGTCCAGAAGTATTTAGAAGTTCCAGACTTAAATTACAAAATAGATTTAAAGTCTTGCTATGTAGAAAACAGAGGCAATGTGATAAATGTGCCTCTATGGTACTCTGCAATAATCTGGACCTAGTCTCAAAATCTTTGATTTGCTGGACAAGTGCTCTGTAATTATTCCTGTTTATTTTGCTTTTTTTTTTTTTTTTTTTTCTTTTAGATTTTGATGACATCTCTAATCAGATTGACTTCATTATTTGCCTTGGGGGAGATGGGACCTTGTTGTATGCATCATCGCTCTTCCAGGTAGGATCAAATATATGGAAACATATTAGGATAGCTGTATCGCTCCAAATCTGATGAATAGGGTGATATGTGGCCCCCAAAACACATTGATGTTTGGAATAAAGCCTTACATTTGAATGTTCAAAACTCTGGCATTTTGATTGTAGATTCAAATATTTTTTTCTCATCCCAAGGTTATTGTGGTACTTCCTCAGTACATGGAAGTTGCCCGATCATTACCTGCATTGCCCGAATGTTCCCCAGGGACATCATCAGCACAATATTAATTTTGAGTAACAAAGTATCTCGCATTATTATCTTAAGGTTCAGGCATCATCGATGTACTACTCTAGGCATCCAGGTCTTTTTGCCTTCTGCTGCGGAGATTCACTCTCTCTAGTTGTGATAGTGACCATAATTAGTACTGAAAGTGGGGTAAAATTCAGAGCAGAGAGGAATTTTTTTTTTAGCAAGAACACTTGTTCCCTTTGAAAGCTGTCCTGGAAGGGATTTCCTCTTCCTATTTGGTTTTTAGTACAGGAAGGAAGAGAGATCTCCCGAAAGGACATGATTGGATGGCATTAAAACCAGACAGGGTTTTTGTCTCTTCCCAAATGTATCCAAAACAAACAAAAACAAATGTTGGTTTAGATATTCTTTAAAGTGTATGTTAACCCTCAGGCCCCTTCACACAGGGGGGTCTGTGTGCTGATCAGTGCAGAGCGGGTGAATGACAGGTCCATGTCCACACAGTTTCTGCAGAGAGGACCCAGACAGATGGAGGGGGAGAAAGAAGGGGATGGATTCCCTTCCAGTTTATTTTGAGCTGGCCAGATGGGACACGGAGGTAGGCAGGTGTAAACAGATCCAAGTCTGTTTTCACCCGCCTGTCCATAGGGGTGGAATGGACCGGCGTACCTGATCGGACCCTTCATGTGAAAGCGGCCTAACAATCAATTTCCGCTATTTGCTCCCTTTTGGTCTTTTTAATATACCATTGGATGTGTTTTGTTATCTCAGTTAGAAAAGTACTAAAAAACCCTGCTGGTCCTGTGTCCTGTGCACACTGCCTGTGTCATCTCAAAAAGCCCTCTCAGCTTCTACCTTGGGTTACAGAATTAATTTGATTTTATGTTGCACAGTTCTGAGAGAGGAAGTGGTTGAGTAATTTAGCAAAAAACACTAGGCAGGGCCGAAGCCACTCAGTCCACAAAAAAAGCTATGTTGTCAGCCCACAACAGGACTTAGATGCTGAATGGATTTATGGCATACCTACTGGTATTGTTCTGTACTTACACATGGTCTGAGAATATTAGGATTTCATGTCCAAGGTTTAGACCAGCTGTATGTGTGAGCTGTATGTGTTTGCTGCCACTTTGCTGTTTGCTTCTACCCTCCAATTAAAACCTGTTTGTCTTGTCTGGGTTTAGTTTCAGACAGTTACAGTTCATTCATTGTATGTCAGGAAGACACCAGTTGATCCTGGCCCCAGGGTCACCAGAGTCTGGTTTGAATGACAGGTAGAGTTGTGTGTCTTTTGCATCACAGTGGTAGCTAATACCGTGCTGTTGGATGAGATTCCAGTGGGATCATGTATATGGAAAAACATTTGTGACAGAATGGAGCCCTGTGGCATCCTATAATGCAGTAGAAGTCAGGATAGGGTCTGTTCCTTCTCTGATTCTTTGTGATCGTCCTGATAACTACTGTAACCTCTAGACCATGAAGCGGCTTTAAAGTGGTAGCAAACCGCAGCTAATAAATAAATAAATCCCCTGCAAGGTAATGTCATAAAGTATGCATCGCCGTGATGATGCCACTCCTACCCATTCATGCGGGAGTCCTAGGCCATGGCCCAGTACTCTGAAGAAATGGCACAGGTACGCTGTTCCTTCAGAGCGCATGCGCCAGCTTTCAAAAATACCTAATATCTCTTAAACGGTGCACATTTAGGAGATATTAATTTGACCTACAAGTAAACTTTATTATAAGCTCCCCTGTAGGTAAAAGTCTAAAAAAAAAATTTACTACCACTTTAACATCCCTAGCGGTATTATCCCGAGTGTAGCTCGGGGTAAAATGTCAGTGCCAAAAGCGGTCACCCCGATCTACACTCGGGCTTACCATGCGGCGCTGCATAGGGAGTCCCTGCTCCCGCGATGTGTCCCCTGCAGCGTCCCCGGCCATCTCCTCTGGCCGATGCCAGCATCCGGCTTCTGTGTTCCGGTCCCTGTGACGTCGGGACATATGGGCGCCGCCGGCGGTGGGAAATTAGAAAATTTTAAAAAATTTTTTATTTTTTTCAAAACACATTTTTCATAGTAAAACATTACTGTTTCAACCCATTTCACATACATTTTGTCCCTACTGCTTTGTCCTGTGCCCTGCCTGCATTTTGTCTGTTCTTTCTGCCTGGAAACTGAGAAACGTCCATGGTGTCCAAAAAGTGTCCCTTTAGGTCAAAAGCGGGTTTAGATCAGCTAGAGAACAGCGATAGTAAATCAGAACCACTTGCAGAATTGAGTGATAATGATTCGTGGGGAAATTCGTCATCAGACACTGAAAACGATTTTGCGACTTTGCTCAGCAATGTACGAACTTGGCGCTCTATTTCAAATTTCAGTGTTTTTGGTTTGATTATATTATTGAATTAAATGTATTATTATATTATTATTTTTTTTATGATTATTTATTAAATTATAATTTATGATTTCGTGTTTCAAATTTTATCATACCCGGGATGTTTAATAGACTCTTGTTCGGACAGATTTCAGTGAGTTATTCCTAAAAATTACAGCCTACAATAAAAAACTACATATTTCCATGTAAAAATGTACCGCTTTCAGCACCAAAAATCTGAAATAATCAGACCGCTAGGGAGGTTAAGTGATCCAGTAAGACCAGTGGTCTACAGTGTCAAATGTGCCAAAAAGATAAAGGGTGGGGTGGAGCATTCTCCCTTGTCTCTATCCATCAATAGGTTTCTTTAGGTGGATTTCATTTTTTTAAACCAGATTTTATTTGACAGCCAGTTGTCCAGCCTGTTACGGACCTGCCTTTTCAATTACCTATCCAAGAAAGGTGCAAGAACCTTAACATACCTTTTTATGTAGCAAAAAAATATTCAGATTTCTGTGACATTGGCATCGTTTAGAATATGTTAAACCACTGCCAATGTCTTTCTACCTGTCTTCTCACATTCATGAGTGCTGACAGCAAACATTGGGGTTGATTTACTAAAACTGGAGAATGCAATTTTTGGTGCAGATGTGCATAGACACCAATCCGCTTCCAGGTTTTTTTTTTTTGTCAAAGCTTAATTGAACAAACTGAAGTTAGCTGATTGGTTACCACTCACAGGTGTACCAGATTTGGCACTCTCCGGCTTTAGTAAATCAACCCCATTATGTCTGTTCATTATGGGAAGCATATGCGGATATCCACAGTCTTTAGTTGTTACCATTCGCTGGAGGATTTAATTTAGGATCTTAAAATCATCGTTCCAAGAGCATAATTATAGAGGTATCTCAATCCAACCCTTCATTGCCTTCTATGACCTGCGCTATCATCACCTCTGTGTTTAAAGCTCAACAATAAGAACAGGTCTGAGCTGTTTTTAACTCTGAAACCTATAGTGTTACATTTTTCATCCCAAGGCAGACACCTGGTTCATGGTACTGTCAGTTCTGTAAACCTGCACCACCGCCTGTTTATTGCACACAGTTGCTTTGCTTAGTGCTTGTCTAGACAAGCCATCATTCATACACTTATCGTTACTAATTCGTATTTAAATGGGCTGACTCCTTAAAGGGATTCATAAATGGGCTTATTTCTTTTTTCATTATGTTCAGAGCTGAAAAATCCAAATTGTCTTTCTGAGATGAAATATTGCATATGAATGTTATATATTTTTATATTCAACCAGCAGGTGAAGCTTAAAGTGACACTAATCTATATCCATGCTCTCCAAAAAATAATCCATACACATCCATTACTTAATGGTACTGTAATCTATTTTTCTTGAAATTATTTCTTACTGTGTTTTTTCTGCCTCCTTATGGCGTCCTCTGTGGGCTCTCAAACCTCTCCTTTTCCTTCTACTGCTGTTTGCTTGGAATGAGAAGTGCACATTAGTTAAAGTCATGAGCACTGCTCTATGCACACTACAAATCACTTGGTCCCTAGTCCATCTGTGGAGCATGCAAGAGAGGGTGGCTACATTCCTATATACAGTGGGACCATGGAGAATGAACATTTAATAGCAAGTAAGATCGAAGCCCAAAAAAAATAAAAAAGTGAGGAGGATGAGCACAATATAAGGTACTTTTTTGAGTTCAGAATATCTACTTGAATAGAATTTTAATTATTTAGAACCGAGTTTAGTGTCACTTTTAAGGCTTATTTTTCAAATTTTCCAGTTTCTTCTAACCTAAGGCAAAAAGCCTGTGTTTACAAAGCTCAGTAGCTCAATATGAAATGTGCATTGTGACTCCTCCCCTCTCTCCCAATCCTTCATACCGCTCCACTCTGCCTGTAAGAAGATAATGGTGACAGTGCTCTCTTAGGAAAAAAAAGCATTGTGTGCTTGGAGTGCTTTATTATGTATTCAAAATTATTTGTAAAGCAAAGGCTGGATACATACAGAAATAACATAAAAATATTGGACATCAGTTTTAAAACCTTTTAATGAAAACAAAAATGTTTAAAACCTTTAAAGTTCTATAAAAATCTGGCACTGGATTATGCTGTTGGGTCTTCATACACTTCACCAGCGAAGGTTTGTGACGTATGCGTATTTTTTTTTCTTGCACCTTGTACACTGACTGAATATGGGGTTGACTCTTTTTCTCTCTGCAGGACAGTGTCCCTCCTGTGATGGCGTTTCATTTGGGATCACTGGGGTTCCTCACTCCTTTTAGCTTTGACAACTTCCAGACACAAGTCACTCAGGTTATAGAAGGTAAGAAAAGCCACTGAGGTCAGCACAGGGGCAGCCAAACTCCTCTTCAGTGGGCAAAGCCCTGGCGTTCTCTATTGTCTCAGCAGAGTTAATGATCACTCAGTGAATGCGTGTGCTGCAATTGGCATGTTCCTTTGTGTGAGAGCAATTTGCTAAGCAGGCTGAAAAGAAGACCGGTTACCTCTGCTGATCTGTGTACTGGGGACAAGTTGGCAGTCAGTAAACAGGCTTCATCTTTTGTTTACATGGGAAAAATTTAAAGAGCTCAAACATAAAAGAGTACAGTAAACATGATGTGAACATTTCTCTATAGAAATGTACAATTCCTTTTGTGAAAAACATTTATGATGTCTTTAGGGGTTTCATAGAAGCTATTTTGTTTGTGTATGAGCTGCTTTCCTTTCCCAGCAAGTCAATGTGGATTCAAAAGAAACCCAAATCTGCTTGTTGCTGCCCAGAAGCATTTTGCAGCATCTCCCTGAGAGATTGGAACTTTGCCTGCTTAATCCAAAGTGACAGAGTCTGCACATAGCTCACATCTCCTAGGCATGTATACCTTCCCAGCCATACTCCCTTACCATTTCCCAAAAATGCTGGAGGCCTCAATAACAGAGCAGGGCTTCTGAATATGGGGGGAACACATGGCTTCCTATGTGTGAAAGCAGCCAATCAGCAGGTCCAAGCACTGTCAATTGGAGATTCCATTATGTCACCCCCCCCCTTTCTAAGCTCTGACACTAGAGCTTATACTATACATTCACAATAGGGATGTGGCAATGTGGGCTTTAAAGTATACATGTTTGTGGAGGGTAAGCTATATAGAGAAGCTGCAAGGGCTCTTTCAGACCGTCAGCAACGCTGATCCCCAATTGATACTGTAATGTGAGTGAGCATTGTCAGCCTAGATCAGGAATTGAACTGCTACTGGCAGAATTATCAGGTGAAAATAAAGAAAAAAAAAATATAGAAAACAAATGCAAGCATCACATTTGAGGACTGGTAAGCTGCCATTTATTACATTTTCTGGGTATAGATATGCTTTGATCTCTTCAGTGTTCCTAAGCTAGATTTTATATATTCTTGCAGGTAATGCGGCCCTGGTTCTCCGCAGCAGGCTAAAAGTGAAGGTGGCCAAGGAACACAAGGAGAAGAAGTCCTTGGTACAGAATGGGGTGGAGGAAAACGGCCTAATTGTTAACAAACCTGAGAAGGAGTTGATCAAACAAACAAAGTATCAGGTGTGTACCTTATATCAGGCTTACCATTTGTTAATTATTTTCATAGATGATTGAAGTATTTGAGAACACATTACTATCGTAGCCAATTGTTACTTATTACAAAGCATTTTTGTAACTATAACTTCATTTATTTAACTTCCTCCCGCCTGCCATGCAAAGAAATGACGGGAGGGCAGCCGTTCTCTCATTCTGGGAGGATGTCATATAACGACCTCCCACTCCAGCTGTGCATGCGCACCCCCGGGGGCGCATGGCACGACGATCGGTGGTGCGCTGTATCCCTGGGACACAGCAGATCACCAATCACAGTACAGAGCCAATGACATAGGCTCTATCATGTGATCAGCTGTGTCCAATCACAGCTGATCACATGTAAATAGGAAATGCCGGTTATCGGCAGTCCACTCCCTGTGCTGACAGCGCGTGAGGAGAGCAGAGCTGTTAAGTGGCATTCCTCGGAGGCGACATGTACACTGATCGTCAGGGCACTGATGATCAATGTAGCCCCATCAGTGCCACCTGTCAGTGCCCATCAATGCCACATACCAGTACCAATCAGTGCACATCAATGCCTCATACCAGTGCCCGTCAGTGCACATCAATGCCACATACCAGTACCCATCAGTGCACATCAATGACATATACCAGTGCCCATCAGTGCACATCAATGCCACATACCAGTGCCCATCAGAGATGCCTTTCAGTGCTGCCTATCAGTGCCGTCTATCAGTGCCATATATGAGTGCTGCCTTTCAGTGCCCATCAGTGATGCCTGTGAATGTCCATCATTGCAGCCTCATTAGCGAACATCAGTGAAGAAGAAAGATTACTTATTTACAAATTTTTATAACAGAAACTAAGAAACTTTTTTTTTTTCAAAATTTTCAGTCTTTTTTAGTTTGTTTAGCAAAAAATAAAAAACGAAGTGGTGATTAAATACCACCAAAAGAAAGCTTGATCTGTCTAAAACAAAAATTGATCAAAATTTTGTTTGGGTACAGTGTTGCATGACCGTACAATTGTCATTCAAGTTGCGACAGCACTGAAAGATGAAAATTGGCCTGGGCAGGAAAGGGGTAAAAGTGGCCAGTAGGCAAGTGATTAAAAGCCAAATACCATTTGCTTTATATGGTGATTACATGACTGCACAACCTCTGTTTGTCCCTGCTCCCCATAGCTGGGCTACTTGTCTGTGTAAGTCAGAGCACCAACAGTGGCTCTCCCTTCCTGCTTGGACTTGCATGACAGTGTGTCTGTAATTTATATAACTAGATAAACTCTCACTAAATACACCCAAGAAAAGTCACACTTCCATCCTTGAAAGTGAATATATATAAACCAAACCTTTTCTCTAAATGGACTCAAACCCCTATCTCATGTATAAAACCCACTGCGTAGTGAAAAATTCAAATCAACCACTATAAATCACACAAGTCCAAAAATTAAAGTGTCTCCAACAAAAAAGTCCAAATATCAAATAATAAATGTGTCCAAAATATCGAAGATCTTCCAAAAAATATGTTATAAAGTATCCAACTTATTCACCAATCCGGATCCCGTAGTATCTAAAAAAAAAAAAAAATGAAAAAAGTGTATTACCTTCAGATATTATAATAAATTAATATGTGAAAAATTGAATCAATAGAGCGTGAGTGACACGTGTTTCTGTACTTCTTAGTCAGTTTTGCTGCCGCACTCTCCACCCGACTCTGCATATTTTTATTGATGGCTAGCAGAAGCCACAGTCAATCCACACAGCAGAGCTGGCAAGGGGGGAGGAAGGAGTGACAGCCAGACTGACTATAAAAAATGTAGGCACACTGTGCATCAGTATAGCACCCTGTAACTAAAAGCAGGGTATACAGCTACAGAAAATGACCACCCCAGCACTGATCTAGGAGGAATTATTGGGTATAGGTTCCTCTCTCTGCACATCCTTTGGACTCTGTATGAAGTTCATGTGTGCCAGTGCACTGTGCTGTGGCATGCAGGATTCTTCTAGTGCAGGAAAGAGTGACAACACTACGGATAATGCAGAGTAAGCGCTGTTACCCTGTGGAAGTGCATGTAGTGTTAGGATTTATTGAAAGCTGGACATTAAAAGGAGTAAACATTTTGACATTACAGAAGCATGTTAAACAACATATTTGATATGTTTGGGTTTAGATATACTTTAATATTCAAAGTCTTTTATATAGTTTGTAGAATTGTAAAAAAAATAGGCCTAGCATGGTCATGTGTAATGTGTAAATTTCAGGTCCTGAATGAAGTAGTAGTGGACAGAGGTCCTTCTTCTTATCTCTCCAATGTAGACGTCTTCCTGGATGGGCACCTCATCACTACAGTTCAGGGAGATGGTAAGCTCCTATTGTTTTGAGGCCCTCTAAACTTCTTATTTATATGAACAAAAGTGAGACCGTTTTTATGCAGAGATGGCTAAATGTGACATTTCAGCTTGTTGTCCATTGATCCCTTAACCTCTGTGTGTTAACGTTATACAAGTGTTAAAATTCAGAAACTGGGGTCAATGAGCAGGTGTATTGCCTGTGTGTCACTGTGTGTGTGGTCTGTCTTCTGCAGGGGTCATTGTGTCCACACCAACAGGCAGCACCGCATATGCAGCCGCAGCTGGAGCCTCCATGATTCATCCTAATGTACCTGCCATCATGATCACCCCAATCTGTCCCCACTCTCTTTCCTTCCGGCCAATTGTGGTCCCTGCAGGAGTGGAGCTTAAAGTAAGTTGTGTGGGGGTTTTGTTGTTTGTTTTTTCTTTCTAAGTGTTAAAGGTGATGGATGGCAAGACAAAAAGAAGATAGCACCGCCCAAAAGCCTTTCCAAGTGATGGTGGATCTGCACCACAGGGGTGACCCATTAAACTATACTAATTGTGTAATATGATCCCAAAATGTTCTTTAACTGGTTCCCAACCGCGCTATAGCCGAAGGACGGCTACAGCGCAGTTGTGTAATCCTTGGACGTCATTCCAGGACAGGCGCCCCCCCCCCCCAGTGGCTTGCACCCGGCCCCACCAGTGATCGCTATGTCCTACGGACACAGCTGATCATGTGGTACAGTAAACGGCCAATCACAGCGGTTTTTTACCACATGATCAGCTGTGTCCAATGACACAGCAATCACCGGGTAAATACAGTTGTCGGTTATCGGCTGCACTTTCCTCACGCTGTCGCAGCATGAGAAAAGTACTGCTGATAACCAGCAATTGTCAGCGAAGGGATCGGCACTGATCATCAGGGCACAAATGATCAGTGCCCTGATGATCAGTGCCAGCCACCTGTGCCACCCATCAGTGCTGCCCATCAGTGCAGCATCATCAGTGCCCATCAGTGCTGCCTATCTGTGCCACCTCATCAGTGCCTATCCATGCCCATCAGTGCTGCCTATCAGTGCAGCCTCATCAACACACATCAGTGAAGGAGAAAAATTACCTGTTTGCAAAATTATGTAATAGATACAAAGAAAAACTTTTTTTTAAAAAAATTTTTGCTATTTTTTTGATTATAGCGCAAAAATAAAACACCCAGCGGCGAGTAAATACCACCAAAAGAAGGCTCTATTTGTGTGAAAAACATAATAAAAATGTCCTATGCGTGCAGTGTTGCATGACTGCGTAATTGTCATTCAGAGTGTGACAGCACTGAAAGCTAAAAATTGGCCTGGGCAGGAAGTGGGTATAAGTGCCCAGTAGGCAAGTGATTAAAACCTCTCCTGTATCTGGTTAAAGCCCAGTTAAGATTTCAGTTTAAATTGGCTAAATACATTCCAGGTGCAAAGTCCGGGTGGGGGCATATGCACAAAGCCATACAAGCCAGATGTCCTTGTAAAAAGCTCCACAACTAAATGCTGATATAACTCAATGGTCTGGGTCTCCTAGCACTGGCAGCAAGCTCAAAACCGCAATCTCCCTCCAAGGGAATACCCTCTCTGAATTACAGGAAAGCAACAAAATTGCAGCTTTGACCCAAATAAAATAATTTTTCTCTCCAACTGCTGCAATTTATTACAACTCAGATTGCAAAGCTGGAGAGCTTATTAGCCGCTTTCAATAGGAATAAAATTATCGTTAAAAATGTTTTAATTATAATAAAGTAAACAAAAGTAGCAAAAAAAAAAACTATTTTAGAAGAACCCTTTGCCCTGTCTACAAATGCAAACATGTGTAGGGTATGAATATTAATTCAGTGTTTGCACCACATGCTTTGAACGTCAGAGTGATAACTTCTGAGGCCATCATCGAAACTGATAAACCTATAAAGGCTTTTAAAGTGTTGCTAATGGGCAATTTTTGGTAATGACGTTTTATTGCCATTTCATAGGCATGCACAGTTTTAAGGCTTGACATGATTAGTATCTTAATGAGTCAACCTACTCTTTGCAAAACCTATTTATTTTATTTTTTTAAAGTCTTTGGCCCATTTCACACGCACAATCCGATCAAGTCTGCCCGTTAGTTTTTCAGGCAGACTTGATCAGATGGTCCATACATCTCTATGAACAGGTGGGTGTAAATGGACTTGTGTCCCCCCGCTTACCTCAGGGTCTGATCTGGTCTGCTAAAAAAAAAGAAAAAAAAAAAAAAAACGGGTATCCATCCTCTTCCTTTTTAGGAGGATTGGATTGGAGGGTAGTCGGCTATAAATGGACAATGGAGTCCATTTACTCCCGGCTACCCATAGAGCAGAGTGCGCTTTGTCCTTGAGCAGAGACAGACCTGTCATCCACTGTCTCTGCTCCAATCAGCAGGTGATCTGTGTGCTGATCAGAATCCGCCATATGAAAAGGGGTCTTTTATTTCTTTTTAACTGAAAATATAGGAGAAATAAAAAATTGCAATTGGCAACATTTTATTCTTCATGGCATCTGTTTTCAGAAAATATGCGGAAAGATACCAATGCGTTTTTTTTTTTATTGCTTTTTGCTCACTACAGTGCATTAAACAGATTCCTATGGGACATGTTCACGTCTTTGCGTTTTTGGAAGGGTCAGGGACTTTTATAAACGCAATAAGCAGCCTTTTTGCTTAGTTTAATGAAGACGCTGCTGAAACACATGTAGTGCGTTTTTGCTGCGTATTGCGTTTTTTTTTTTTTTCTTCTGCCCAGCAATAAAAAGATTTCCCCTTTAACAAAAAAAACACATGTATAAACACGCAAAGCAAAATGCATAAAGCATTGCAAACATGAATCAAAAACAAACTGCATCGGTGTGAACCAGGCCTTATAGACGTCATCTCTGACTTGAGTAAGTGTCAACCTAAATTTACCAAATAAAATATAAAAGCTTGCCTTCCTTCTATGTTATGTTCTTTGTGCCGCTGGCCTGTGGTGTTGTGGGTATTCTGTGTATTTACAACCATCATCATAGACCTGTGTACCCAAGGGCAGTGCCTAATAGCTGATCTTTCATCAACTGCACTGTCTTACATGAACTCTGTTCTTTTTATAGAGTAGAAGGTTACAGAACTCAACCTTTAATGAGTCAGTCTAACTAAAGTGAATATTTCAGTTTTCGATAGAGGATAGAAACCTGTGTGCCTACTGTATGTTAAAACAGCATTGTTATGTACCAACGAAGATCAGTGTTTCATTTTGAGTGATTTTATTCCTAAATCAGAAAGTCATTTCAAAATGTTTTTTTTTTTTTTGTTTTCATTCCAGATTATGCTATCGCCTAATGCACGGAATACTGCTTGGGTCTCGTTTGATGGGAGAAAAAGGCAGGAAATTTGCCATGGAGACAGGTAAGACCAGCATTTTCAGTGATGTGGATATGATCTGCTTACATGGAGGCGGAAGGGTCCCCCACTGTTTCTTTTAGCAGGCCAGAACTAGAGGTAGGTGGGTGTAAACAGACACAAGTCCGTTTACTCCTGCCGGTCTATAAGGGTGAATGGACTGTCCAATCAGGTCCGCCTGAAAAACTGACAGGCGGACCTGATAAGAATGACCATGTGAAAGGGGCCTTGTAATCTATTTTGTTCTGCGCTTTGTCACCAAGTAAGGGGAAATTCAGAATTTCAGCATTTTCCCCAAAACAAGAGATAAGAGGAAATCTTCTAGTGTAGTCATATGTTTAAGAGGGGATTTCCCCTGATGTGGGGGATTTCCTCAAACATCCTGTTGCATCTTTAGGACAAGAAGAGAAAGAAAGTTCCCTTAAGGTACACATGACTGCCAAACGTAAACTGGCAGTTATTTTAACCCTTCACTTCTCTATGCAAAATAAAACAAGTTTTGGCTATACAAACATTTTTAGTAAAATTTGGTTCCAAGGAAACAAGGGTGGTAGTTGGGCAAGCAGTGTGTTCTATTATATAGTAAGATCTTTAGAAGTTAAAGTGGTTGTAAACCTTTACATATACCAAGTGAAGTGACTAGCGTTGGGTTATTGTATCTGTTTTTCTAGTCTTCTCTACATCTGTTCAAAGTCCAGAATTTATAAGCTTGTCTGAGCTTTTAGACAACAGAGGGCAGAGAGCTGAAGTTACTCTGCAAGCTCAGCTCTGAGAGCTGATTGGAAGAAAAGGGAGACCCCCCCTTCACACAGGAACAGAGCTGAAGCTGTCAATTACAGGCTGTGTGCTGGAGCTCCCTCTCGTCACCCTTTTTCTCGGTGTCAGGAAAACTTGTAAGAAGTGAATCATACTGATAGCAGAGGAATGAGGCAGCAGACAGAAATTACACTCACTGCTCTTGAGATGAGTGCACCCTATATAGGGATATGCTTTGTTCCTTTTTCATGTGTGAAGTTTACAACCACTTTATTGCAGAATTAAACAGGATATGAATATGGTAGAATTTTAATGTCCCACCCCACAACACCACATACTCACCAATAGAAAAAAACAGGACAGCGCTACAGACAGACAGAGTGCTGAAAGTCCGCATGAACTGTGTATGAATTCTCAATATATAAACAATAGAAGAATCCCCTTGAGTCAATGATCCAAATGTATCAGAATGTAACAATTCAGCAACATAACATATGGAAACATCCAGGTGCAAAAAGTCTCAGTGGACAAGTATGAAAAAGTTCCCTTCCGTCCAAATGTTCAAGAGGAGTAGAACGAAATCACCACTAGTGAGAACCCCACACCTTCAGCCTCTCTCCTGATAGACGTACTAATTCTCGGTCTGATTGTGCTGTTAACCCTATTCTCCCTGGGTAAGGGAATATCCTCCAAATATGGGTCCTCCAAAATGCAAAGAAGAGCAATACACACCAGTAAAAATCTTGTCCCATAACAGAGTTTAAAGTCCTCGCCTGCTCCAGGGGTCCAAAGAAGGATCACCACCAGGGGCGGACTGACAACTCATGGGGACCCCAGGCAATAGGGGATCATGGGGCCCTGTGTCCTAGCCCACACTCAAAACCACACCCAAAAAAGCCTATGAAAGGTACCAAGGGCATGTCATGGGGCCCCCTACAGACCCCAGGCCCTCAAGCACTGCTCGAGTGCCCAAATGGTCAGTCCGCCCCTGGTCACCACAGTTCAGCAGTGTCCCAATTGACCAAACAGTAAATAGCCCTTTCTCACAAACAAGTCCTACTCCACACCACACCGCATGGACACCTGCTGTGGTGTGGTGTGGAACAGGACATACTTGTACTGTACTGTTTGGTCTACTGAGACACTGCTGAACTGTGGGGACCCTTCTTTGGACTCCTGGAGCAAGCGAGGACTTTAAACTCTGTTATGGGACAAGATTTTTACTGGTGTGTGTCGCTCTTCATTGCATTTTGGAGGACCCATATCTGGAGGATATTCCCTTAACCCAGGGAGAATAGGATTAACAGCGCAATCAGACCAAAGTTTAGAAGGTCTACCCATCAGGTGAGAGACTGAAAGTGTAGGGTTCTCACTAGTGGTGATTTCGTTCTACTCCTGTTGAACATTTGGACGGTAGGGAACATTTTCATACTTGTCCATTTAGACTTTTTTTCACCTGGATGTTTCCATATATTATGTTGCTGAATTGTTACTATTCTGATACATTTGGATCATTGACTCAAGGGGATTCTTCTATTGTTTATATATTGAGAACTGATACGTAGTTTATGCGGACTTTCAGCACTCTGTAGCGCTGTCCTGTTTTTTTTATATTGCTGTTCAGATATGTGGTGTGATCATATGAGGATTCAGCAGCAGCCGATTATTTTGTGATACTTTTTTCATACATTAGCCTATTTCAGATTGCGCACAGGTGCTTTTATTATTATTCAACATACTCACCTTTCCTAAGGCTGACCATACACTATACAATTTTCTGTCCAATTTCCTTTAGATTTACCTTCAATTATGTAGTGCAAGGGCCTGCCCAATTGGATACAATTGAAAGTGTTATTTAGGTTTGACCTCATATTATATGGTTTTGGTAAATCTAAAGCAAAATTCTCAAGAAAATTGTATAATGTATGGCCAGCCTAACACTCACCTCCACCACTGCTCTCCTGAACTGCCAGAATTGAGGAAAGGAGCTTGTATAAAGAAACTCAGTCCGTTAGCACTTACACAGAAATGAGGAGTTTACTTTTACCCCATGTAAGAGCACTGGGTCAATCGCCATGCACCGGGACAGTCACATGCTTCTCCATATGTAGAAGTATTTGGTGTTTTCTTTGTTGCCATTGGTTGAACAGAGTGGCAGGTGAGTAAAGTGCAGTATGCAGCTGGGGAGCTGTTGATGGGCAAACCACAGGTTTGGTTTATTATGATGCAGGACCTTGTTTATAGAACCCTCCTATTCAGACTTGCTGGCTAACATTTATTCTCTTGTCATTACAGTATTAGCATCACTACCTCTTGTTACCCTGTCCCCTCCATCTGCTTCCGGGATCCGGTTAATGACTGGTTTGACAGTTTGGCTGAGTGTTTGCACTGGAACGTTCGCAAGAAACAGAACCATTTCACAGGCGAGGAGGAAGAGGAGGAGTTCTAGCCTTGGCCATGACTCAGAGACTCAAGTCAGAAGGGCCTCAGCAGTTTCCATTGACAGTGATATTTTCTCCTTTTTCTTCTGGTCCTACTTGTGGACAAAAGACCAAATCAGACAGACGTGTTTTTATGAGCTACCAGCCGCAAAGTTCTGGTCAACTGAAAACCAGCTTCTGATATTTATCAAACTTAGCGCTCTCTCTTAAAATTTTAAGACAGAAGTTTATATTTGTGTTTCTTTATAATGAAACTTTAAAATGAAATGAAATAACTTTTTGCTGCTTGCAATCTATAGGGCCTGATTTATGGAAAAAAAACTGGAGGAAAGTGGGGAAAAAAATCTGATTTCTGCAGCAACCAATCAGATGCTTTTTCTTTTTGTAGAGTAGAATAGTGAAATAATAAACTTAAATCTAAACTCAAAAAGACAAATGGCTACATGCACAGGTGAAAAACGTATGTAAACTGGCTTACCTGCCAAAAAGATTTGTAATTCTGTTCTGCTAATCTTGTGATCCTGCTCTTTCCTGCCAGACAGAACAGTCAGGTTGGCGACCTAACATTTCTCAACTGCAGTTAAGTAATGTAACTTGGTCACCACCCCACCCCCCCAACTGGGTGATTGTACTGTATTATGAGGAAGCAGCGGAATGGTGATAAAGGTCATCTCTTTGCTCCTGTCTGCAAGTCCTTAGTACTAGAGTGAAAGCACTGTGCAATGCAGATACCTTTTCCTCTTTCGGAGTCCTGTTGTGCAGGAAAATTTTGGAAGATATGAAGATAGGTTTTAGTACATTTTCAAAGCTGTATTTAAAAACAAATTTAATATTTTTAATGAATACTTTGGATTTTAGCTTGAAAGGCTAATGCAAAACTGATATTTCATTCTTGGGTGGTTGCTGGCAAGATGAATAATCAGCAGACTTCCTACATCTGTGGGGGCCCCGCAGAATGAAGCCCAGTGGGTTAGTTAAAGGCTTAGTCCACATTTTATACCATGTGTCATGGTATAAAACAGCATCTCCAAAACCCAAATACCCCCCCCCCCCCCCCCCACCCTTGCCTGAATTTGTGGGGTGCATCTCTCTAGGAGAATTGTTTTTTTGGTGTGTGTGTGGGCTGCGCCTGCACAGCTGTATCACCCATTTCTGAACATTACTAAAAGGCTGCTACCGCGGTGTGCAGGAGATCCCACCTCTCTCACTGTTCTGTAGTTCAGCAGCACTTCCGCCTTAGGTACCTACCTCCGTATGAACCTAAGGCTGGCGGAAAACTTTCAAAGACCCTGTGCACTGCTCCTGCAACACACAGTAGTAGTAAATACACATTGATCATGAGATTAATGTTGCTGTGTTTACTGATTTTGGAATCTTGTTGGAATCTGCCAGAGAACACCCATAGCTGAAACATCAGCTTTACCTTTGAGATTTGGTTGGTTGCTGCGGGTAACACCTCCAGTTTTACCCCTATTTCTTGTAAATTGGCCCTCCACTGCTCTTTACTGTGCAGTTTGATGCGAACAGCAACATGGTTATATAGAGTTGTTTACATTTTATAATTGTCTCATAGATAAATTCTATAAAATATATTTGTTCTTCTATCTCCAGAGGTTATTTTGAGAAATTTGTGATTTACATACTCTACATTCATTGAAAAATAACATTTCCTTGCTGCCAACATCATATTCCAATTACCCATTTTATCAACTATGTTAATTATTGGACGGCGCCTTTCTTTTTAAAGGCAAACTCCACAATCTTGATAAATACGAAAAAAAACAAAAAAAAAAAAACCTTCCCCCTTAGATCTGTACGGACTTTTGAAGTGTCCATTTGACCCATGGAAATATTTATATTTTGCTTTTTGCTGCATGGGAGCTGTGGGTGTAGTTTTGTATATATTCTATTTTATAAATGCATGCAAAAAACTTTTATTAGTGCATTCCGTAGACACCACCTTCTACAATTCCTCTGTGGCGATATGCAAAATTTCTATTTCTTCGGTCAGTTAAAAAGAGTTAAAAGTCAGCAGCTGCAAAAACTGTAGCTATGATGTTTAACAGACACTCGCATGTCCAGGGATCCAGCGCTGTCCTCACCTGAACCGCTTGCTTGCCTGTGTCTTCGATTCCTTGCAACTTCACAGCCGGCTGTGCGCTGTGCCTTGTGAGTGGTCCCGCAGCTTTTTGGGAACTGGGAAGTGTCCCAGAAGGCTGCAGACAGGGAGGGGGTGAGGAGAGCGATCTAAGTGAAAGTGGGAGCGGGTGCCTGTTAAAAGCAGGTACCCGCTCCCTCAAAAAAAGTCCCAAAAGGGGAAGAAGAGTAATGTCCCCTTTTGGTTGAAGTTCCACTTTAATTGTTCTCTGCTGGGCTACTACTTTAAAAGCCAATGAAGATGATGAATGTGGTCTATAAAGATCATGATTTGATTTTACAGCCCTACTGTATCAAACAGCTCAGAAGTAAAGGGTAGAGACATGCCCTTTAATCTTTTCAGTTTGTGCTTTGCAGAGCATTGAATGTCCTAAAGGGTCAGTCCACCCTATATTGGTTTTTCAGTTTTGGGTGGTCACTGTCAGTCATCCATTTGCTTCCATATATCTATGCCCAGATATAGCAAACATGGCGAGAATAATCCATGTTCCACATTGGAGATTTATTCAATATAGGAAACAAGAAAAATGAGACTCTGGTAATCAAGGAGATCCAGTAACTTAGGAAAGTTTAACAAAGTCGCAGTCTGAAGAGTGCATCCATAACTGAAAGTTTTATTTTATGTGTACTTTTGCTGGTTACTTACATATCAAATTTTCATCAATGTTTCCTATATTGGATTGGAATTTCAATCATATTTACAAATATTTTTTTTTGATGGTGCCACCTTATACAGCTACAGTTTTTGTAGATTCTAACAAAGTTGTGGAAAAACGTACTGCATCTTTTTTTTTACATCTGAAGAAGAGAACAAATCACAAACATATACTTTATAAATTGTAGAGTAAATTAAAAAGGAAAAAAAATGAAACCTGACAAAAGAAGACTATTTACATTTGCCCATGCCACCACCCAATCCAGCAGTCTTTGTTCTTATAGAGCAAAATGGCCAGCAGAATCTTCAGCACCTTCCCCTTCTGAGTGTGTGGGACAGCTGTGTCCCTTGTCATCCGATGTGGTTGTATCCCCTGGTAACTGTCTTTATTGTGTCCTGTACTGGCATATCCCTGGTGGGTAAAATTACAGCACACGGCAGGAGACACAGGTATTGGTAATTAAAAGGATTCATGCCCAATGGACCTTATGATGTAAAAATTGGGGTGTATTTTCCTTCCAGGAGCCACAGGTGCTTTAAACAGCTGTCCACCCGTGAGACAGCTTACAGGTTAGACTGTGTCCAGGGTTGTAGGTTAGTACCCATGCATGTGTTTTCACAAGTAAAGGCATATATCTGCTTATAGCCATTGCTTTCCGTGCACGGCTCTACACTGCACCTGTGGCTCCCGGGTGGGAATATATACCTGTTTTTTTACAGTCCCAGACTGCTGTGTGCAGTGAGTTCTTAATGGTTTCTTTTTAAGGTTTTTTTTTTTTTTCAATGTTGACCTCCTAAAAACATACACTGTACTATGACACTTAATTATAAGTGCATATGTATTTGTTTTCTCTTTGTCCTTCTGCAAAGTCCCACAAATTCCTGCTGATCCTGTCAGTGAAGTCTACCCTAAAGCAGTTTGGTGCGGCAATGCTGCAATACTGCTCCTGAATTCAAAGCAGAGTTGCCACTCCCTTGTAAGCTGCAGAGGGCAAGACTATCGGCATTGTCATTGCTTATTGACAATCCTGTAGCTTGTCAATCCGCACCTGCCAACACCTAGTTCTGTCCACTGCTCTCTGGATTGATTGTTGCTGGACGTCTTCCACTGTGGTCTACGGTGTCTGGGAGGGGGAGCATGTGAGAGAAACTTATGAAGGAGAATTTGTCAGGGAAGGTAGATGCACTTTTTGTTTACTTTGAGGCTCGTGCATCACATAGTAACTAAGTGTGGTACTTGTGTAGACTGACATCCTGAAGACCGCAGTTGAACTTTAATATACTTGTCAAACGTGATTGAAAGTTATGACCAGAAATGTTTTAATCTCTTGTGGATATGATTAGAATATTGGACAAATGGATTGCAACACTGTGGCTGCCTTTGAAAGAAACATCAACCGTAAGGTACATTGTTGGGCTGTCCTGAAAATGCTTCTTTTCTGGCTATTATGCTGGCCCTCTTTCTTCAGTACTTTGAGTCATCAATCTAGCACAGGTTTGCAGATTAGGACCTCAGACTTTTGTCTGATTTTCCTCATCTGGGCCTTGTTCTGGGTCAGTGTCTCAGCTATTGAAACCCAAGTGTCCACATAACAGTCAAGTGAACCTATTTTTTTCATGATGAGTTTTACTATGGAGATGCCAAAATGTCAGCCCAGATTTTATAGGTATTCAATAGTGCTCATGTCTAGTACAGTGCAGCACACTAAAGGCAGCAGAACTCCACCCAAGATGTTTTTTGCATAGAATGTGGAGGGATTAGGCGCTCTGCTAAGCTTTTTATCTTTGCTGCCTGTGTGTCCACTGGGGGGACTTTCCTGTGCTAGTCATTATAGCTTGGTTATATAGTTTGGAAGTCCCTTCAAAGTGAGAACAAAGCTTTGAAAGTTGCCACCAGACACTGTGGCATTCAGGCGTTTTGATTGGACGATATACTCACAAGAGAACTGAAAAATTTTAGATCGCCTTTTGTCTGGGAGGCCAGTAGTCAAGATGACAAATAGTGAGTGGAGATCAGATCGCAATAAAAGTCTGAGAGAATGTAATCCTTCTTCCTCTTATTGAAAGTTAAGGAAAACTTTACAGAACAGTTCTCATTTGAAACATTGTAACAAAGATTAATTCTGCACAGTTTTAATTGTCAAGCCGAATGTGTGGTTTTGTGATCCATTTCAGCAATCCCAGCCCAAAACAAGG